GGCCATAGGAAGAAAGGGTTACGAAACCTTACACCGCGCGCAATTGAGCAAACGCAACAGTGGAAGTATTTAGCTCGATTTCTATATTAAAAAACTGTGAAACATGGAAAATTAAAGTCACCAATTCAGTAATCATTTATTCACAACATGGCACTCCTTTGTCTGACGGTACGAAACTATTGTACACCATAAACAAAACCTGACATATTAACAAAGGACAAATATCCAATTTCATGATGTGTTTGACTCCACAAACGCCTGAACCTGGCAAATACGCAAATTAGCCGGTATATATTCACATTAACCAAGATCGATAGATAAAGTTCGAAACAGGAATTGGTTTGAAGCATACTTCGCACTTACTGCATATTGGCAACCCCTAGCCCAAGGCTGGATAACGTGCGGATCGATTGGTTATTTCGCGAATTAGCCCTATTTCGGCCTTCATTCGCAAATATATCCATAAAACAGTGAAACATTAATCAAAAGCTACCAAAAAATGACAAAGTTAATGGACATTATTTTGCAACACATTGCTAAACAGCATTAAACGATTAAAATCATACACAAGTTTAAATATCAAGAAATTATTTTCTGTTTAATCACTGTTTCTATGTAATCAGATAGTGTACCGAGCATCAGGACGAAAGTAATATTGTTTTTAACATTGATATTTAATGTTACAATTACCATTTAGAATGTATAATTTTAAAAGACGAAATACGAACTAACAAGCATTTTACTGTAGCTTCTTGGTCAATGATCCCTATCCCGATCAAGTTTTTGGTTCAGATTCCCTGACCCTTTTACCAAATTCTTAGATGGCTCCTTGTTTTTCTTCTGAGCGTAAATGTAGTTTCACTATGTGTGCACATCTTCCAAAGCGCAGTGGAGAATATAGTTATTTAAGTATCGTTCATGTTCTTGCTGCAGTACGTATATTCCTTCATGAAGGGCGCGAGTAATAATAGCCAAAATCTGTAGCTAGTTTGCCTTTGCAAATAAATAGTTTTTATTACGGGAGCGAATATTTTATCAATTGGAGACAAAAACTATTGTTTCCACTTGTACAAGGTCTGTCCCGAAAAAAAATGCGCCCTATTCTTTCTGCCGCAACTATCCGTCACGCAGCGTTACCGCTTGCACGAAAGTGTGGGCGGGAGTCCTGAGAACACAGTGCGACCCGCGCCAATCGGCTCCGAGCTCCTGGAGCGTCGCAGAGTCTGTTTCAGTGAACCCTCGAGTGAGAGACAGACCTTGTATTCATATTTCAACTTGTAAAGGAGTTAAGTAGGGATCTCAAAAAACTTGTACCGTGAACCGTGCTCCCAGAACTCAAGAAAACGTTATACTTCTACACTTCTTCCTATATTATGAGGCAGGTTTAACTGTTTTGGCGTTAAATAGCTAAATACAAACATATTCCGCTGCGCTAAATTTGAAATCAAGGAACGTCTGAAAATAAGAGAATGTCGTTCCCACATGAGAACGAGTTTCGCGAGTGTCCTAAATTCATAGCGTTCAATAAAACGGATGCCTAAATGATTCAAGAACCGTAGAAGTATAGAAAAGGAAAAATATTTCATTCGCAATTTTTCTTATCGGCGCACATCTAAGATACTATTGAATGTAAAAATCATGTCATTAGTACAATAATGCAGGCGAAATAATTCTGTGACACAATTCGCGCGTAAAGTGTTTACATGTTTTGCGTTAACACACGAGTCAATTTATCTCCTACCTTAACATTTATCATTCAATGTAAATGCAAAATGTTGAAAACATTCAATAAAAATTAAGTGTCGGCCGATTGAGCGGACGCCTTGCACTAATAGTTTAAAACGGACCAAATGCATATTTGCGCGTTTTGCAGAGACGATGAGGCAGATGATAAATTCCTGACTCATCAAATGAAGGCGGAAGTCGAGAGACTTCGGGGAAAAGTGGAGGAGAAGAAGCAGGCAAGTTTCCTCTTCATCCTGTTCCCTTACTCTTTTGTTCAACAGATTGGAGGAGTTTCAATCTAGTTCCTATTAATAGCAGAATTTCATTCAATAGAAATTTCAAAAAAAAAAACAAAAAAACAACGATTTATTAAACAAAAAGTCAGATTGATTGTACTCTTCTTCTAAGGAACTACTGTTTCATTATTGCCACATGAAAGTTTAGTATTTTTTATTTCAAATATCTACTTAGAGGTCTCTGTAACTTCATTTTTTATATCCTTCCCTGCTTTTGCCTACTTCCCGTTGTTAGGAGATTGTTCCTTGCTGTATGGAACTAAGGCTTTCTGAATAGTCGAATGTGTTTTGTAATAGTCGAATGTAAAAATTCAGTAATTAATTTTGATAATATAATTTTGTAATATAGTAAACAATTCGACCAAATTAAGTAAAAAACTCGTAGACAATGTTTTAAAAGATAACTATAGGAATGTGAACTATCGGGCAACAGTGGCTAGTCTCTAACCAATGCTTTTCGAGAATTGCTGCCGATCTCCCTAAGGGTCTTCACCCACAAAATTCAACTTCAGACGTTTCCCGAAATATTTTAGACACGATGTTCGTTTCTGAAACTTTCTGCAATTAAAATCCTAAAAATAATCGGTAGACTAAAAACTAAATATTCGGCCAGTTTAGGTGACTTTTTAAGATTGTTTGTTAAAGACTTGTAGGCTCGCCATTATACATCTTATTACTCGCACAAGTTTTCTTGATTTCCGAGCACCTTAGTCCTCGACCAGCGCAGAATAGCACGGCACGTTGAGATACTTAGGTTCGACTCGGAACGGTACGTACGAATTTAAAATGCTAGCAACAACCCTCGTACTTTCAAAACAATCGAAGCATTTCTTGTGGCACGCTTTGTGGAGTTAGATTTATGCTCACAGTTGGTACGTCCTTTAAAGCCGTGACATAGCCAGAGCCCTTCTCTCCCCGCACCCCCTGCTGTGGAATATGAAGAGATTGTAACTCGCATGTTTAATGTATCCTTACGCACAGGAATTTTTCCAAATATGTTTAAAATAGCTAATATTAAGCCGCTTTTCAAAAAAGGCAACAAATTCAAAATTATCGGCTGATTTCTCTTTTGTCGGATTTTTCAAAAATATTAGACTTTTTTTTCGTACGAATGAAAACCTTTCTTAGTAAACACGACGCGTTTTCAGATTGCCAACATGGGTGTCAAAAATAGAGGTCTACGGAAACAGCCATATTTTCTTTTCTGACAGATGTCGCTTCATTCAATGGACAAACGAAAAGCACCTATTGGAATATTGTTAATCTTTCAAAGCTTTTGACGTCATTGATTCATTAACATTTTACTTTCAAATCACCTTGCGTATGGGAAATTCGATGTGTTTCTGCTAGATTCGTAATGTTCGTAACTTAAACAACGATCTCGAGAGTAGGCAATACCTTACTGGAATAATGGAACATTATGCTATGCACCTTTCCATTCTTTGCCAATTGCATGTTGTAGTCACGCGGGATCGAACATTAGACGCCTATTCTTCTTCCGTACTAATACGTAACGATTATGCCCTTGAACGATTTAGAAAGCGAAGAACAGATTCTCTTAGCGGATGATAACAAATATTCTTGCAATAACGAAAACGTAAAAAGTACAATATCACATATTTCAAAATTTGTTCAATAATAAAGAAATGAAAATAAACTGTTTCAAAATGCTATATTGGTCAAAATCGTAGTATACTAATATTATCTAATGTTACATAATACGGCAAATACGTGCTGTTGTCGGCACAGCATGGTTAGCTTTTATACGAAACGCCGTTGATATTCGGTCACGTGCTATGAACCTAACTTTCTGAGAGTTTATGAAACTTTCCAGATTCTTTGTTATCCTGTGGGCTTAGGCGACAAATATATAATCGGTTAATTAAGAGCCGTAACGTCAATCACACGTACTTGGTAATAGTGAGCACATACACAAACAAATTGCCGTAAGCGCTACTGACAATCACTTAATTAAACTATGTGTTACCACATGTCTATGAAACTTATGAGTATTGTCCTTTTTAATCTTCTGATGTTGATCAATAACAGATTGTTTGTTTCTTATTATCTCCTTTGTGTTCGCAATATGGTTTGTGAGGATAAAAAACCACAGGGATGATTTGTATGTGATGAATGTTGTGTACGTTAGTTGCCATTGAGGTTCTTAGCATCGGTATGTTTTACCTTGTTTCCTATGTGAATTGGTGATGCAAGAAGGCGTAACCACAACACGCGAAAGCACTGTCTTGGTTGGCCTGGAAGGTGAGTATTTCGCATTGCTAGTATAATTTGATAGATTACGCTGTAAGTACTATTCCATTCGCATAGAACTTCACCAAATATTTTCATTCGTGAGTTTGATTCTGTAATGTATTGTGCAACATTGAAATAATTTATGATGCAGAGTACCAATTAGGAAAGAATAAGTCTGCTTTCGCTTCCTTTAGGCGCTGCTTTCTCTGTTTCTTCAGTTTGGTTTGCTAATAGACTATTACTTTATTGAATAACATTTTTCATGCCGAAGTCACTGCTTATCCTAATGCTTAGTTGTTCCTTCGCTTCCGATCGTCTCTGAGGGCGCTGTGGGCCGTGCGACAGGAGCTGGTCACACTGCGCCAGGGGGCTGGCCGTGTGGCGGACGGAGGCGCGCCAGCTTGCGCCAGGCCGTGCGCGTGACGGAGACCGTGCCGTGGCGGCCGACGTGGATGGACAATCCGACGCGGCGGGGCTTGTCTGGCGACGCGATTGAGGACTCTGGCGACGAGCGCGCGACCGCCCCCGACTGCGCGAGGTCGCCTCCTTCGCCGACGGGCACCACCGCTCGGCGCTCGCGCTACCGGCGCGCGCTCGGCCAGCGCGCTCGCCTACCCTCGCCCGCGCCCCGCGCCCGCTCCGGCGCCATCCGCCACTGAGCAGGTCTTCTCTCGCACTAGCGCACAAGGTGCGCCCCTCCCCTTCCTTCCTCACCCCAACAAGTCAATGATACGGAATACCTGCGCAGATCCGGCTCGGACATACTTGCCGGCTTTGTACAGGTTTCCGCCTCTAGAACCCAGCAGTACTCCTTCCCTCCCAGCGCGGACAAGGTCTGGAGCTCCTGACTACTCTCCCAACAAGTGTGGTATAATGCATGTACATGCATGTTTTGTGTGCGTATGTAAGGAAAAGACGAGAGGAAGGATAAGAAAAGCGCAGATCGCGCGCGATCTGTGGGCTTTTTTGTTATGGTATTTTTCCGCATTCGTCATTCCATTGGTTTTGGAACAAAACGTCTTTCAGACAACAATTCTCTCTAGGCAGGGCTGAATTCGAACCTACAAACAGTTATTGCCCAGGAGACATTTCAGCTATAGTACATCTCTATATCCCGCCGAAAAATACGATTTGGAGGGAGGAATTAATTTAAAAAAAAAAAGCTCCAAGCCGCTTCCGCGCTCCACGACCCCGGGCGCTCAGGTCGAGCGCCGCGCGTGCGGATTGCGGTATCCCTCTCGCTAATCGCAGGACGATTCGCGCTAACGACGGCAGATTGTCGCCGGCGAAAGGCGCGCCGCCCCAGAACGAGAGACGTCATCCGGCCGCGCTCTTCCGGCCCCGCCCGCCCGCCCACCCGGCCCGCCCCGCCCCCGCGGCTAGGGGTACAAGAGCGGGGCACGCAGCCCGCGGCGCGCTACTCGCTCGCATCGTCGCATCGTCGCATCGTGTCTCGTCTCGTCGCCTGGGGACGTCCATCACAATGATCTCCCGTTGCGTCACCGCCGCCGCCGCCGCGCTGCTCGTCGGAATCCTTTGCATCTGCGAGGCGCACGGGGCTGCGCTGGCTGCTGAGAACGAGGTAGCTAAATTGCCTAATAACCTAACTAAGCACTAACTAATGTACGAATCCGACACGTCTTGTTTCTTTTTAGGGACAATCCCGAATTTTTAGCATGTCCTGGTGATCCGACAAAAAAAAAACTTGGGACGCTATAATGTCTCGTTATTTTACAGAAACAAAATAAATCGAGATTTTCTGACCACTAGTTCGAATTGTTTGTTAGAAAAATTCTTAGAAAGATTTGTTCGTTAGTTTGCGTCATTACTTTTCGTTTGCCTGCTTATTAGGGAGTGATAAGTTTGTAATCGAAGTAATTGTGGGCAGTTTCACTTTTAAAAAATCATAAAAACTCATGAAAATGCCCAAGAGAAACTGTGGTTTCAGTGAAATTTTAAACGCGTAGTTCCCATTTATAAAAAAAGATTTTGGCTGTTCCAAAAGCAAATGGAAATATCTGCCCTGCGCTGTTTAACAACTTGTAAAATTAAATACATATAAAAAAATTTAAAAAAATTAGTCAGTTTCACTCGTGTCAGTTCATTTGTACGAGTATAGTGATACTGTCTTTGGTTTTTCATAAGTTTATTGTCAGGACATATTTATTGAGTTCATGAATACAAGGGGCAGTCAGAAACTAATGAGTCAAACTTTTAGGTAGCTTTTTGGAAAATTGGGATAATTCAAATTTTGCGCGCTTCTTTACACCTTGTGGCACCTTCCTTGGCAGTAACTATGTTACCATTCAAACGTTGGTACTACTGTACGTTCATGCAAAATGGCTAACATTGATGTGCGGTTAAAGAAGCTTGCTGTAATTGGATTCTTGAATTCAGAAATCCAGTCACCTATTTGCATCCACGAACGTTTAAAGACGTTTTACGGAGATGCTACAGATGATGTTAGCACTGTTCGGCGGTGGGTTCGACGTGACAGGGAAATCTGAGACTAAGAACAACTTGACGTGGCAGATGCAGCGCGGAGCGGTCGTCCACGCACAGCGTTGACAGCGGAGAATATCCAGCGCGTCAATGGCATCATTCGAGAAAATCGCCGGGTAACTACGAGTGAATGGTGTTCTTTAATGTCAATAAGAATAGGTAGTGTAATGGCTATCATTGAACATTAGGTTTATTCGAAAGTTTTTTTTCTCGTCCCCAAACACCGACACCATGTGAACTCCAAAAACTTACACAATCCAATAAAGATGCAAGGAAGATAATAGCCGCTGATATCTTGCATCGTTATGAGATTGAAAGTCAACAGTTCTTATCAAAAATTGTAACAGGTGACGAAACATGGATTCATTTTTTTGAACCAGAGACAAAGAGACAGTCTATGGAGTGGCGCCACTCCACGTCACCCCGAAAAAAGAAACCCCGAAGTGCACCTTCTGCAGCGAAGGTTATGCCTACTGTGTTCTGAGATAAAGAGGGAGTGATACTTGTGGACTTTTTGGAACAGGGAACAACAATTAACTTCGATCGATACGTGGAAACGTTAAAGAAGCTTTAAGGTCGCCTTCGAAGAGTTCGTGCGACGAAAAGGCAGTCTGACATTCTTCTTCTGAACGATAATGCAACGCCACACATTTCTCTGCTCACAAATGCTACAATTGCAGAATTACAGTGAGAGGTCCTTTTCCACCCACCTTACAGTCCATACCTTGTTCCTTCTGACTTTCATCTTTTCGCACCTCTAAAAGGAAGTGTGCGCGGACATTATTTTCAAGACAAATAAAGTTTGAAGAACGCCGTGCACTAATGGCTACGGAAGCAGGACAGCATTTTTACCGTCAGGGAATACATGCTCTCGTTCAACGTTGAACAAAAACTGTACAATTAAAAGGAGAATATTTTGAATGATAAATTATTTATATAGAAAGTTTGAGAAATAAATTCATATTAATTTCACTTTTTTTCTTTGAAGAAAAAATACTAATAAACTCGGAGGCATTTCTTTCTGACTGTCCTTTGTAGTTTGGACATAACTAGACCTTTTTAATCAACAGCTTGCAGCTTATCAACTTCAATAAATTAAAAAAGAAATTCTCGTGGCTTAAACTAAAATTACAGAGCAGGTGTACTATGTTTCAAACAACTTTGTTTAACTTTACCCTCAAATTTTCTGCACGTGCCCATAATCAACACCCCTTCAATTTATCATAACAGGTGTTCAACCGATTTGCCAGTCTTCGTCAGTCATGGCAGTAGTAAGTGGTAAACGCCGAGAATCAGTAAAAAAGACGACAGTTTCACACAACGAGAATCAGTAGAAAAATAATGGTGTTGACAATTATGTCTATAATTCTCCAAAGTAATGGTTTTAAAGCAATTCTGGTTCATATTCTATAAATTCGTTTCTTGTAAAAACATTTATTAATCATTTGTTGGAGGTGAGAATTAAATATGAAAAACATTTATCTATTCAATAAAATGACCATTGTTATAAAAAATGTTTCGATGTTTACTCGTTAAGCAGCAAGAATCTGAAGCTACTTTGCTCAACCGGCTGTGATTATAGTTTTTTCATATATTTCAAGTTAAAAGTGAAAGTAAGGGTTTTTATAGGACCATCGATCATTTGCACACTTTTAGTGTAACTCGACAATAAAATTAATCCCGAAATACATAAATTTACAAGTGGAGCAACAAAATAGCACAGACTTTGTCGTATTATTTTTAATAAATAAAAAATTCAAAATAATTATATTATAATATACGTAGTTCTAAATTTGCAACGTATCGTGTGCAAATCTAACAATTTTAAAGTCAGCTCACTATCTAAATCTCTTTATCTAAAACCATATTATAAATAAAATGATTTATCTGCATGTCATTTAAGGGCCATAGCAATAATGTGGGAAAGTTTATTTCCTTTCTTACACAGTACCGGTAATAAATTAATTCCTCAAAATTAACTGACTTTGCAGACAATATTGTAAAACATAATATTTTGAAATCTTAATTAACACGATCGTTCAGTTTGCTTTCTCGTAATAAGGCATATTATAGACATTGTTTTATAAAGAACAAACATTTTTCACGTTTTTTCAATTATTTCGTCCCCTAAAAGTTTAACTGAAATTGCTTTCAGAAAATCTTACAGAAAACCAAAACCCCCTTTTAATTTAGAAAATGTAAGGGAAAACACGTGTACATATTTTTCAGTTCTGTAAAATATTTTATTAGTAATTTTAGCATGTTCAATTTTTCGTGTTTTGTTTCAGAGCCCCTCATACTCAGAGCAGATGAACTCTGATTTAAAAAATATAAGAGATTGCAATCACACTTTTCCTATCGGTCTTGGTAAGTATTTCTTCAATATTTCCGTAAAGCAATATTTGTGCCAATAAAAAATCAAAAGAGTTTTTTTGGTCAAACAGTATCTATGTTCCTGCAACAAATTTGAAATACGAGTACTTGTGACGATACGAACCTCTCCAATAAAAAATTACAAATGTCAGGGAGTGAAAATAAGTCTTGTATATGAATAAAATGTTGACGGAAGGCGAAGATAGGAGCAGCGTCTGGAATTTTGAAATGAGTACACCTAAGACATTTCGTATGCATATTAATTTAAAGTATACGCTTCATATGAGTATTCTTCAGGTAAATACAATTTTAATGAGTATTCATCAGGTTGTATAACAAACAAAATAACATATCAACGATATATTATTTTGCGAAGAATTTCTCTTTGTGTGCCAACTGTAGCCAAATTCAAACTATTCTATTTAAATTATTTCACATATTTTTAAGGCAAAAGGTAAAACAAATTATAAAAACTAGCAGAAATAAAGAGAAAGTGATGTGTTGCTTTCGAAGCTAAATTTCATACTAGTAAGATATCCAACTGAATTTCTAAAAACTAAATATAATATTTACATGGAAAGCGGTTCTCATATCAGTTTCTTGCATATCAATCAGCCATTTTCTGAGGACTCTTGTGCTCCTAGGCCTATGATAATTAGATTTTCAATTTAGTATTCATGTTATTAAAAATCCTTTCACTTATTTTGTGGGTTCCTCTGATTAGCCCTTTATTTAATCTACTAGAAGTAAGAAAAGCGAGTCTTCTCCCACTTCTCAAACGTTCATACTCTTTCCGAATCTGCTCATACATAGTTTGTTACAAGTGATTTTTCTAGACAAAATTTCCTAATAGTGATACTACGAGATTCCTTTTATAGAAGTTCCAATGAGTATCGCATTTGCTGTGTTCCTTTTTCTGTTTATTTTCATTGAAACTTTCAAGTAAATACTCTTGGGATGCTTCTCAACATCCTAGGCGGCGGCAATGTGTCAAATAAATATTGCGCTTTTGTGTCATTAAAACTATGGTTTGACAGTTGGAGGAAGTAAAATTTTAAAATAGTGGTGCTACAACACCATTTATTTTGTCGCATTATAATTTAATTTGCCGTTTTCCAAAAATTCAGAGTTCAACGAAATTTGACACGCGCCATTATTTTAAGCGTTCCTTGAACATCCGAGGAAAATAAATTAAAAAATCGCAGCGGTTTCTGAAGAACGTTTCCTTTATACATTTAATTACTTTAAAACAAGCACAAATTACCTAAAAACTCGATACTTTAAAAAGTTGTAATTAACCGTTTTTAAAGATCTCATTTAAATAATTTAAAATTGATTTTATGGCAAAGACATCTATCCTCAACTTTGTAATTCTGAAATGTTAACTTTTTAGCATTTTCGAAAATATGGAGAGCTCGCCGGAAATGAGACTAGAATCATTATTTTTACCCCCTTTTGAAAAATTAAACAAAAAATTTGGAGTCGCTTTTGAGAAAATAATCTTTAAACAATTTAAAAGTTCCGTACATTTCACGCAAATGCATACGAAATCAACTCACATTTTCGCATAATTGTACATGACTTTTATGATCTCATTAAAGAACAGATTTCATTATGAAATAAATTTCTACCTTAAATATTGTAGTTGTAAGAAAATGTAGAAAAAATTTAACTTTTACTATTTTCGAAAAGCCAGGGATTACAACGAAAATGAGACTTCCGCTATTGTCTTAAATGTATTTTACTATATCCGAGGATATAGTTTACTCAAAAAATGTGGAGCCATTTTTGAGCAACTTTTGAAAATATTGAAGCTCCCAGTGTCCAGAAAGCATCCAGAAAAATCAAAATATCCGTTCCAAAATCAGAGGGCCTTGAGTTCGTTTTAAATGGAGAAATATAAATTTTGAAAAAAATAGACTGAAAAGATTATTTGCTAGTAGTAACTACAGATTTTGCCGTTCGGCATCAAGGTCGTTTTCCAGCGCATGATTACAATACTTTCTCTTCTTCCGAAGAAAGGGCGACACTGTAAAAAGGAAGTAATTCATGAAGGAAAAGAAATTCAACATTTCATCAAAATGTTTGAAAGACTGCCTAAATGAATACTAAGTAATAAAGTGATCCGGTGCTCATAGGCGGAGACGATGTCAATGATCACAACTCAAAATATACATTAGCAGGCTTGATACAGCTTCAACAAGCCAATCATGCATTTCAGCTATTTTCTAATGTGAACTTCATTTTATATCTGTGTTTCATATTCATATCGGGATGCTGTTTCAAAAAACACACGCATGCGCGGCCAGTAATTAGATGAGATAATTTAAAGATGAACATTTATAGTTACTTTCCTTCATGCGAGTAATTTACTAACTGAAAAGAAATATTTTAATTTAATGCTGCTGGCAAAAAGACATCCAGTCATTCATTTTTTTCATATCACATTTTTTTCATATCGCTCCTTAACTTTCACGTACTTTTCCTATTATCGGTATCAAATACTTGCCTGTCACTTCTTATTTCTGTGTGAAAAAGTCTGCACAGAGGTTACACTATATTTGCAAGTAGGTAACGATATCGTGACATTTGCAACCAAATTACTATTTTAGACTATCTGGAAGGAGAATAAGGTCGTTCGAGCGAACACTCATCGCTTTCGCACTGTTCTGCTGATAGAATGTCGAAGTCATTTACCTCATGACTACTGATATTCTAAGTGTTGGAACAACTTTATGAGAAATTCCCTTAACATCGAAAGACCTTCACACATTCCGCGAAAGAACAGTTAAACCTGCTTTTTGATAGTATGCATGGAAACGTCAAACGTAATGAAAATTGTAATTAACAACTTTTAATTTCATAACAACCTCATAAAAGTATGTTCTCTAAGGCCAAGCGGAAGTTCGGCTGTAGAAAATAAATATAAATCATCTGAATACCTCCAGTACTTTTGAGTACGCAGAAGAATCGGTACATTTACCCTAGAAAATGGACAGTGTAAATTACTTACAATAATAATAATAACAATAATAATTATAATAATCAGAAGAAGCCGTACCCGTGGCGCAAACGGTTACGGCAGCCGTCGTCGGCGCCGAGGAGACTGCAGGTTCGAGTCCTGCGTGGGCATAGGCGTATTGATTGTCGCATTACCCCTCATCACCTCATAATTCATAACTCAAGGCGTAACAACCTTGTCTTACTGATAATTACAACAGAAATGCTGATCCCCATAGTTACACACGTTATTCGTGTAGCGTGCTCAGAAATGGCCGATACGCAAATAATAATAATAATAATAATAATAATAATAATAATAATAATAATAATAATAATAATTTTACTTGAATGACCTTCAACTACAAGCTAACAATGAAACGATGAGTGAGTGGCAAAAGAATTCAGCATTTACGTCGCCATGAAATTTGGGCTTGCCAAATGTGCAAAGGTAAACGTGAAGAGACGCAAACGATCGAGAGTATTCAAAACGACATGCACACTGAGCACAGAACTTGAGCCAAGCAAAACCTAGAAATAATAAGGCATTACAGTTTCCATCTCGTATAACACGACAAAGGAGAGAGCTCAAAGGGAGTGTTTCACTGACTCCTACAGTGCGCTCGGAACTCTGAAGAAAATAAAATGTCCGCAATACGAGTAGGTAGGTTTGTTTGTGTGTGTAACATAGTTCAGTTTCTAACTAGTGGACTGACGAAGAAATTCATACCATGGTCTGAAAATCAGAAAACTGCTTACAATGCATCTAGTCGCCTACCCTCGACTGATTTGATTGCTGTACCCGGGTTCGTCCACTAGGTCATTAGTCCATTAAGTGTAGTGCATGTTGTCTCGCTTGAGGTGGCGATCTTTCTCCGCTGAATGACGAGATCCAGCGACGACCTGCACGTCGGCTTTCGGAGTTCACCCTAACAAGGCATCTCTCACCAGAGAGACACTGGGGCAAGCATTTGTCTCCCAGCATGTGTAGCAGTGTAGGTCATGTAAGTGTAAGCGCGTGTAAGTGAGGGGTGAGGATATAGCAAGGAAGAAGAAGGGAAGACCGCGTGGCAGCCGGCCACTTTAATTTTTCTCCAGACACCGTGTCTGAAATCAAAGTAGCTATAAATATATAGTCAAAAGTCTAATTCGGTTGTCCATTCTCGAGGTGATGTCTAAAGACTTAATGTATCACGCAAAGGAGAGAAAGGACTCAAACTGAAACCTTGTGACATAATGTAAGACTCGGAATAGGAATGTATTAAGTCAGTAATCAATATGACCCACTTATGAGGTTAGTCATTCAATCTGATATAAAGCATGAAAATAGTAATTATAAGTGCAGCAAACAGAACTGCGAAGAAAATCGCGTATGATAAGCATAATAACACAGACAATGAAGGAAAACGCATCAGGCAGGCTGCATTCTAATACAAAGGGAAACTAAGCTAAAATGAAGTAACAGGTCTTTGGAATGTTTTCCTCAGCTGCTGCCCATGCTGCTGAAAATCGTATAATTCTGCTCTGAGCGGTAAAACCACATGTGGCGATAGTTATCATTGCCCTGGAATTATTTCCGCAAAATGTATGAAAGTACGTGACCGAAGTTCCAGGTCATTAAATAGTCTGAGAAATACAAGTTATCGCGTTATTGCGAACAGACCATATTTTTTTCCGAAGTATTTGTAAAGGCACTTTATCTTTTCCTTAGGAAGAAGGTTGCAACCTGCGATAGATTTTATATTTAACCAAAATCTAAAATTTTTAATTGTGAATTTAATTCAGTATTAATACAATATACCTCTGTTTACATGTTTGCTAACGAATATTTTAATTAGATGAATATTTTGAGTTAAATGAATATTGTTTCCCAAAGTAACACATTCAATATAGAGATTGTAATTCATTCACATTATGATTTTCAGCTGCTATGAACGCGGTGTTAGTGCACCAACGGCTCACAGGAGTGGGAGACGAAAACTTTCAGGTGAGATATTAGTTATATATCAGAATCAAAATACCCTTTCTAAATTTCATGGAGAACAAATTTTCTCGCAGGATTTTTGTAAGGGGTTGTCTACACCACAAAGGAAAGAAAATATAAACAGATTTATGCAAGCCAGACACACGTTTGTTTCGAAAATGTATTCAGAAGTTACCATAAAACTTTAATTGTTTCAAAATTATTTAAATAAATTAAAATATATTTGAAATTAAAGAACTATGACGCAGTAAAACGTAGTTTCATTAGATGTAGCTTTGTTATGAATCGTATCATATCGTGGGTGTATACGTTTACTTGAGCCGTGTGGACTGTTAGTGGGGAATATCATTAAGCCGATTTCTTCAGGCGAAAAATGTTGAGATTTAAGAGACAAAAATTGTTTGTACATTAGCTGTTGCAGAGAGTTTTTATTACACCGGAGCGAATATTTATTGCTATTAAATTTTATCAATCACGCTCGTTTCTAAATTTATCTTTAAACTAAATGTACTATAAGTGGCAGTGACGGGATTCCAAAGCTCAGGAAAACATGGACAGATATTACTTCTGTGCTTCTCCATACGTCATGCGGTTTTAACTATTTATTGACAAATAAATAAATTAAAAACACATCGTTTTATTATGTACATCTGTGAGTCAGAGATAGAGGACGCTATGTCCACTTTTGGACGAAATGAGATTATTTGCACGATCACGCGGGTTCCTTGTTCTCTACCCAGGTATATAAAACACTGTCATAAAGTTGGTGGAGTTACAATGCATTTTAATGTAATCAAGTCGACTTCCAAGTCCACAGTAAAACCTCTTCTAACTGCTCTTCTGTAAAATTGAGTAAATGTGACAGTGACCTATACCTCCGTCTCACAAACACATTTTGTACTAACTCGAACATTTAAAAAAATGGCATATACACGCAGCTTTCTCAATGGTCAAATTAGAATGCTGACCTTAAAATATTAACCTCAACGACAATGTAAAAATACTTGCTAATATTCCTTAACATAGATGGTAAGAGTTCGTACATTTGGACTTGTAAAACAGACATATGTTAATATTCACATATGACTAATCTGTACTCTTTAAAATATTACCCTTCGTGATGAGAAATATATTGATTAATATTTGTATATTTCTGTTTCAGTGCTTTCTACATTGCTTGTATATTAAATACGGATGGGTGAGTTAAATTCTGTACATAAGTAATTTTAAATTACAAATCCAAAATAAAAATGTATTTTACGAAAAAATATTGCCTAAACCACCCTGACTAATAATCATTGTATCTAAAAGAGATCGAACTACTCAGTGTGAAGCTGATGGTATCACAACGTATTCTTTATGAAGTTAAATTTGTTAAAAGAAAGTATTATTATAATTATTATATTATGATAATTAAATTAACTTTCTATGTCATTTATTATTACAGTCCGGATCTTTGGCAAATGCGTTTTTATTGTAATGATTTCGAAAACTAGCCATCTCTTACATATGCTTATAAAATTATTTTTGAAGATTTCCTCTTGCCTGTTTTTTGCCCATTTTAACTTCTGTAGTGTTTAAACAATTTACCTTATGTTGATTGTTTACGTCATTATTTTAATTTTTCTAGTAATATCAAAATGGATGAAACTAGGAACCAAGCCTGATCAATACTTCGACCCTGACGCATTTCGTCTTTTTCCGCAAGCAGAGGCGCGATATCAGGCAAGAAAATATATACTCGGGTTCTCGGACTGGCTGTGAAGCCTTCGCGACAACTTTCGCTGCCACTGCAGAGTCTCTTATCAGGATTCCATTCCTAACGATGGTAAATTGTTTACGTAGCGAAGTGCATCGAGTTCTGTCGCTGCCTGGACAAGAATTCTATCGGCCGTCGGCTTTGAGTAGTAGTAGTTCAGTAGATCAGTAGTTCTTCGTGGTTTCCATGAACAATAGCAGGTGAATCCCTGAGCGGTACGCTAGGCCAGTGGGAATATGGCCAGCACCAACTTCCCTTGGTTTTTAACACCCCCATCTCCCCATAAATACACACACACGCACGTCAATGAACTACATCTCGACCATGTTTTTCGTCCAATTTCCCGCATCTTTTGAGCTAATGCTGAGATGGCCCCTTATTTTCCTTCTGGTCATAAATGTGCCTTGCATAAATTTCTGCACTTTTCTCCTGATCAGTGGGGAGTACAGTTTTTCAAGTAATCTGATTTGACTTTGCAAATATTTCGTATTACACGAGAGTGAATATCTTTATAACACTTGCCAAAAACGCTCGTTTCTACCTGTATTCATAATTCAACTTATAAATGAGTTAGTTACCAAAACTCAATATAACTTGCACAGGTAACACTTCTCCCCATGGTGCGTAATAATAGTTTTAAACAGAATTTAACGTTAAATAAAAAAACAAAAATTAACCTTTAAAAAAATCACTAAACTACTACACGTTTCAGGAGATTAGTCAGAACCTTTCTGCTTGTTCCGGCTAGAACGGTAACCTCGATGGGCGAGATACCTGAATGGGGAAACCCTGCAAGCCAACGCTTAGATCTGGATCTCACGTTCCAGCTTGAGAAGCAGCTCCACCTCCCCACTAAAATAATCAATATCCTTATGGGACCAATGACCAAAGTAGTTGAAGTGCCCCAAAACATTAATTAATACTCACTAACTCACTTTATTTTTATTTATTTATTTACGTCAAAACAATTAAGAACTGTGTGTGACGTGCTATAAAAAGTTACATTTATGTCTAGAAGCAAAAGAAGAGGCCATCTCATCACTTGCTCAAATATCAGGGAAACTATACGAAAACATGATCGAGATGAGGGTCATTAACCCAGAAGCTGAAGTACAATTCTTGTGAAAGGTTCTTTAGAATTATACAATCCAAGTGGTAAATAATACATAAAATGTTATTGTTAAAATTAATATTACTTTCCTTTTGGATGCTCGGTAGTATCTAATACAGAAACAGTAGTGCAGCAGGAAATATTCTACTTGCGACTTAAACTTTTGTATCGAATTTAATTGTTTAATCTCCATCTGGCAAGGTGTTGCAAAATAATTTACATGTATGTGGATTTTTTGTACTGAGTTATTGATACTGTCACCTGATGAATATGACTACTACGCCGAGTGTTGTAGTTATAGACATCGGCGTTTGCTGAAAATATATTCCCGGAAGTTATTTTTGACACCACTGATTCGGATATCAAGAGACAAGGTAATGGTAAAATACATAGATTAATAAAGAGAGGATTACAAGAATCACTTACTCGAGTTCTACCGTCAGGCCAACTAGTTCTAGGAAAACGCTGTGAAAAAGTGCAAATGTGTACATTTAAGTGTTTAAAATTAAGGTCACGTGGACATGTATTACATATTTGGTCATTTAATGTCAACTTAAAATAATATGTTAGTTTTGGTGCTCTTTCAATGTTTGCTTCAACTCCTTTGACTCGTGTTGTCTTTTAGTCAAGTGTGCGCGTGTATTATCTACTCATTGGTGAAAGTGAAGAAGTTTGATGTCACTACAGAACAAAAAACACATCTGTCAGCTAAGAGAACTATCTAGTAAGCGTGTTCGCCGACAATGGGGAGATACGTCGGATGACAAGTAAACATTCAAAGTCAATAACATAACTGTCAGGAAGTCATTTGTCTTCGGGAGAAGAAAGTTGTAGGTCTACATTGCAATAGCATTAATTGATGCAAAAAAATTCAGTGCCCATTGATAATATAGTGTAAACAGTTTAATATCTCGTATATGTTTCTTCTCGTAGAAATGCAGAATGACCCCTATGATCTTATCTTGAAAACATAGTGAAGTGACCCCGTTAGGACCTCCCAATCAGAGACACTGCAGTGACATAAGATGACGCCCTGAGCCATCTCTCCTGGTAATAATTTAGGACGTAAGACAAAGTAGATTTAGACTCGTTATGAGTATCTGGTTTGTAAGCCAGGCCGTAGCATTGAGGACTAAATACGAAGAGTGTTCAACTTCCCGCGTGCACTGCGGGCTGGCGCTAAGAGGAGCGGGTGCGTGCGCAGATGGACGAGGAGGGCTCCTTCCTGCTGGGAGTGGTGCGGACCGCGCTCCGGGGCTCCGACCTGCCGCCCTCCGCCGCGCAGTGGCTGCTCTACCGCTGCACCAGCACGCGTGAGTCCGCCTCTACAGCCCTACCTCCCCCAAACAGCAAAAGCTCAATTCAATTCAACTATATCAATCGGGCGAGCCTCGGGCGATTAGGTTTCCTCTTCCACGCAAATTTCGCTACGCTCCTTTCACCATCTAGCGGAGAAACAAGGTATCACGTGGGCGACGGCGATTTCAATTTAGCTCCGAGACATATTTTAGGCTTGAGGTTCTTCTACAAGCTATAGATCTCCAACATGAAACAGCCTCCTTAACTTCCCTTACAAAAGGAATACGAACATACAAATACTTTTTTAGAAAAATCATAAATTGAACTTCGACGAACCCCGGATCGGAAACGAATTAAAGTGAAGAAGGTCAGAAGAGAATCCGCGGGAACGAGAGTATTCTGTAGTTTGAATGAGGGTGGTTGATATGATTCGACCTCTATTTTGTGCGGTGCATCAAGTTTGTTTCAATGAAGAGACACGTTTATAATTTCTATTCTATGCAGTATACTACACTTCGATCTACATATTCATTTTTATCCATCTTTCAGTGAACTAATCTGTATCAATCAGTAGCCACCCTTTACAAACATCATTGCTTAGAAAACGTTAGATGGCAAACGAAAAATATATACTACTTCCATTTCAAAAATCAAAGTTCTGTCAATATTTCTAAAATTAAAATTTTGTAAACAATATATCGTAATGTTATTTTCCCCATCTCAATATCTCAAACCATTACGAAGATATTGACTGTAGTCAACCTAGATAGTCAACACAGACAGCCGTCTTTCGGTTAGATGGGGCCCCGAAGCTTTCAAAGATTTGGGGGCTCTAAGTATTGTCTGAAAAAATTATGCCATTTTTTCAGACATTGTCAGATTTTGTCATTATTTATTCTGAAAAGTTAATATAAAAATTAAAATATGTGTTAATATATCATTTTATGGTAAGCAAACGAAATGTAAAAAGATTATTAGAGGGATGGGATTAAAATCCCATTAGAGTTCAGATGATTTTATATTGTTTTTTCAACTTCCCAATAGATTACAATAATTCATTAGAGGAACTTTTCGATATTTTTTATCATCTGTGAAGTACCCTTAATCATGGGAGCCCGAGTCACGACCTTCGGCAGTATGTACCCAAAAATGGCCATGTACACGGTTGAAGAAATTATTTTCCGAGGTTTCTTTTTTGCTGTTTTGGATCCTTTGAGAGCCGTTTGTGTTGCAGGCGCCAGCGACCCCTGCGAGCGCGCCCTGGAATTCACCCGGTGCTTCTGGACGGAGGCGCAGGAGGTGAGCAGCACCCGGCCGTCCTCACCTCCGCCCCCGCCCCCGCCCTCACGCGCCACCACTACCCGCCCTCGCCGCGGAGAACGCGCCTCCACCCGCGTCCGACTCACCCGCCCCTTCGACGCCGTCCCTGCCATCAAAGAGGCCTCCGCCGCGGCCGCGTTCGATTTTTTCATTTGACTCCTTTGTTCCTTTGACACCGATGTCGCAGAGAACTGGCAAGGAAAGGTAACCCCCAGATATTCGATCTCCTGATGCATTATTTATCTGCATTTCTAATTTATTTTCTAATTATGTAAAACATAAAACAATTTGTAATTTTATGTTTAAAATATACACGTTTTAAAATTAATTGTTCTTTTCTTAGCAAAGGCATTTCAAGTGGTGTTATGTTTACTTGCGTGTATCTCAATAGAAGCCAAGCTTCCATCTTTTTTTACTTCTTTTTCTTAACATCAGAATTCAGTGTCAAATAACCAGTAGGTGTGCTTGTTTACTGTCCTGCGATGGTGCTCTTCAATATTTGGGAAGTTCATATGCAGAGTTGTTAATTACAAATCCATTTAAAATTGTCTTGAAGTTTTCATGAAATCAATTTTTCATACTGGATTTTCAGTTATAAGCTAGATCTTGCATCACGAGTACCTTTGCTAGTAAGAGTTTAAAGCAAAAAATACGAGGAATTAATCTAGTAATAAAATACACAATACAATCATTCTATAAGGTTACTGTATGTAAAAAACTGAATAATTAACAGTAAATGCATTAGAAAATACACAAATATTTGTATCTAAAACTTAAATTCTTCTGTTTTCGTATCATCAAAACTGTTTATTACGTGCGCTCATACTCTCTCGATAAGTACAGAGCAAAATAAACACACTTTGTTCATTATTTTATTACCCTAAGAAAACAGATGCAATAAAAAAAGAGGCAAATTCATTTATTACAAAAGATTACATTATATCCATTTCGAAAATTAAATTCGAAGGGAATAAAATCCATATAAAATTGTGTGTGTGTATATATACATATACATATATATATACATATATATACATATAAATATATATATATACATATAAATATATATATACACATATATATATATACACATATATATATACACATATATATATACATATATATATACACATATATATATACAT